TCTTCGAAGATAATTGTCTCGTCAAAACCAAGACCTCAACACGAAAAGTTCCTTGGTGAAAACATTAAGCTAAAGGAGCTGAGAGAAATGACCAGGAAACTATTCAATAGGGATAAAAAAAACAAAGAGTGGGATATTTATAGTGCAGCCCTAACCGAAGATAATAAAGAAATTAGGAAAGGTAAGAGAGCATCGAGGAAGCTATGCAAGGAAGTTGAGTCTTTGCCTCGCAGCGCAAGACTACACAAAATGCTATCGAAAGCTAAACCTAATCAAACTGGGGTTTTTAAAAAGCCTGATGGTAACTTCACTACTAGTGAAACTCAAACATTGATGTTACTAAATTCAACCCATTTCCCAGAGTCACATAAAACTTTTGCCTTGAATTCTTAAAGAGCCTACGAAGCCGTGAGAACTTGCTTAGGCTGCAAAGATAATAAGTCAGCAGCCTGGTGCAGTAGGCTGTTGACTCTTTTAAACCATATGAGACAAGCGGGGAGGATGGAATAATTCCTATATAACTGCAGATGTGTATCGATATCTTTTTATCTGGTGAAAATCTTCAGAGCGAGTTTTGCATAGTAGGGATATAATCCAGAATGATGGACAATTTTCAAAATTTAATTTATACCTAAGGTTGGTAGAAAGGTCTACGCTACGGACCTACCAAAGTCTTTTAGACCTATAAGCCTATCTTCCTTTCTTCTTAAGACATCGGAAAAGGTTATAGATATATTAGGGATGTAGCTCTAGCTACAAGGCCCATACACTATATCCAGCATGCTAAGCGCAGAGGCAAATCTACGGAAACAGACGTGATCAATGTTATTGACAGGGTCGAAAAAGCGCTCGAGGATAAATAGCTCTTTGTGCCTTTCTAGATATTGAGGCCATCTCCGACAATAGCCCCACATCACTGCAGGTTGGGGGCCTGACATCTAAAAATGTTATGGGGTCATAACCATCGGATGGGTGAAGTCAATGCTCTCAAACAGAAAGGCTAAATTAGCGCTGTTTACAACTTTAATTGAGGTTGCAACTACAAGAGGCTGTCCACAAGGAGGGGTTTTGTCACCCCTTCTTTGAACTCTTGCGGTTGACCAAATATTTTATAAAATAGCAGACTTTTGCATTAACATACTATGTTATGCTGATGATCATTGCGAGGGCGTTTTGCCAAAGTACTTTATCATTAATTATACAAAGAGCCTTAAACACCATAAAAAATTGGTGTAGGGATAACAGTTTATCAGTCAATGCTGATAAAACTGTTATATAATACAATTTCCCAAAAAGAGACGGTTGGACTAATTAGTCCCACCAAAACTCCAACTATAAGGTAAGGTATAATAAGGCCAACCAAAAGAAGACTGCGGACAGATTAAATAGTCTACAAAGAACAGCCTGCTTAATATTCATCGCCTGGAGCGGCTCTTAATGCACTACTATTCCTTACGCCCCTTGATCTTTATCTAGACAAGGAGGTGAGGGCTAGTTTGTAAAGCATTAACGCCCAGGGCAGTTTGAGTTTGCTTTCTTATAGATAGAGATCCATGCTCGACACAATTAAGGAAACACCGGTCTTATGTATGATGTCCACTATACACTTTTAATAAAAAGTGTACAGTGGAACTACCTACTTGAGATCGGTAGCATTATAAGGTATACTGATGGGTTAAAACTGCGCCTCGTCGTAGGCTGTGGTGAATTTTTGGGGAATATGAATTTGGGTGGATACATCTCTATCTTCCAGGCAAAAATCTTCGCTATACTTCAGTGTGCGGAAATGAATCTGCGAAAACACTACGTCAACCATATAATCTATATAAACTCTGACATTCAAGCAGCACTGCTAGCGCTGAGGTCAAACTTGGTGAACTCGAAGCTAGTTGCAGACTGCTCGAATCGTCTTAACGCCCTGGGATGTAACAACAGGGTGGTTTTCCGGGTCACGTGAGTATTGTATGTAATGAACTTGTCGACAAGCTTCCATGGGAGGGCTCAAAGAGTACACAATTTGGACCCGATCCATTTTGTGGAACCTCAAAAAGCCTAGCCCGATTGACCCTTAAAATTCTTTATCATAATAAATCACTTAATGGTCTAAAATATTCTAAATCCTAAAAATTCTAAATGCTCAATCCAGTCTTTTGATCTTGAATTTGCTTCAGAAGATCTGGGAGTAAATCAAAATAAATTGCGCATTACGGCAAGAGATATCCTAAGACTTTAGAGACTCAATGACGTGCCGGTTGTTCCTTAACGGAAGGAACGCCTATGAAAATCCTAACTGATTGCGGACCCTTAATGCTCAAACGCAACATTCATCTGGGAAACAATGTATTTCGCCCAGAAGAAGTGAAATAGCTCACAGCTTAGCAACTCCTTCTATTCATTGAAGACGTAGGGCTTAGCTGTGAACTATAGCCATAGCAGCGATCAGAATAGACATTTAGGTCGCAGTGATACTGGTCTCTCTCTAGAACTGCATAGCTGCTTGCACGTAAAAATACTAATTTTTGGGTAATACCTATCCAAAAAGACTCCTACAAAGAAAAAGAAATTATTACCTATAAATTACCAAAATGGGGAAATTTAATATTAACATTGAATAATTCTTTCTTTGTTAGTTTTCGTGCCTAAGAGAGTTTTAAGAGCCGTGGTAGCTCAGTGGTTAACGCTCGCTGTAAATATAACAGAACGCGAGTAACCCGGGTTCGATCCCCGCCGGCACCAATGAAATTGTTAATTGCAATTTTAAGTGCTGATTTACCACGTGCTCGGCGGTGAACGAAAACATCGTGAGGAAACCTGCATGTCTGAGGAATAAGAAAAAAAATATTTCGAAGACATGTGAAGTTCGTCAACACGCATTTGGGCAGCGCGGCGGACACTTCCTTGCCCTAAACCCTCTCAGAAATGAGGGGAGGCCTGAGCCCAGCAGTGGGACGTATATAGGCTGTAACTTTACTTTTTACTTCGTTTTCGTGCAAGTATTTAAATAAGTTTTTTAAATAAATTAACTTATTGCATATCTGCCCCTTTTCTTCCTTTTTTTTCTTTCTTTTGAAAAATGGCTATCGCAAAATAACTTTTATATTTTGCTTGTTTTATGCCTTAGTAACTATCAAAATTATATTACATATGCAATATTTTAAGGTGAATTAAAAATATTACAGGTCCAAGTATTCCGCAATAAGGTCTGGAAACTTGTTAATGCTATTAGAGCAAACTGCCGAGGCGTTAAGCTTGCAAACCTTACTTAATTCTACTTATTCGAGAAACTTTGACGGAGAGCCACCACGTTCCCGCTTCGCCACATCTTTTACAACCCGGCAGCTTGTACTCGTAATGCCTGAATGGTTCGAAAAAACATTAAAATACCTTATAAATGGTACATATGCATACTTGCATTGATAGTTTACATTATAATGTAAAATTAAGGAATTGAATATTTTAAGTTCAATAACGTAAAAACTTAAGACGTGTTTTATGTTTTAGGTTATCGCTATTCTTATCTTATCCCCTTTGATTATATACTTGTACATTATAATCAAAGCTTATCCCGTTATATAATGCTAAAAACTCTGCTATTTAAAAAAGCAAAGCTCTTATAATTCGTAGAAAATTAACGTTAACCCTACAATCCCCGTAAAAATCCCAAGCAGTCGCATGCGTCCGGTTTATCCCGAGCGGTCCCACTCACAGCACTTTAAGCAGTAGAAACTTATATTTAGAGACTACTTTTCTATAAAGAAGTTTGGCATTATAAAACCTATACAAAATTAATCCTGTGGTATAAACAAAAGTCAGGTTTTACTTCATTACAAAAAGATTTTATTGTATTTTGATTACAAAAAAACATACATACCAAGCGGATGTCGGCAGCGTGAAAATCACAACTCTTTCTATATATATTATTCGAATTTATTTACGGAAAAAGATAAATTATATTCACACAAAAACTTTCATTACAATTTAATAATAAAAACTATACTAAAACACTACAAAAACCCAAAAAATCAACACAATAACATTCACACGAAAATGGCGTACGAAATGAATGTAGATTATAAATAAATATCCATAAACTAACCGACTTTTTATTCCACTCAAATTTCATATTGATTCTATAATGCCAAACTTCTTCATAGAAAAGTAGTCTTTAAACATAAGTGTTGATGGGTTAAAGTGCTGTGGGTGGGTGCGATCACATTTGACCACTAGAATTTTGAAGGAATATTGAAGCGGTCAAATTTGGACGCTTGCCGTTTTAGAGGTTAGTTAAATAAATGACAACGTTTTGTTTGTGCAACCTTTGTTATATACTCGTACAAAGGTTGCACTAATTCACTGGCTTGTTGACCAGATTCAACGGAGAAAAATCCTTTACAGTTTCATCATTATCATCATCATCATTATAGTCCTTCATGAGTCCAATGTTTAACATGTAACATTTACAGTTTAAATTAAAATATTTCAAAGGTGTTACACACCTAAAACATTACTTTGTAAACAGCACAAGCCTAAAACATTGCATTGTTTCTACATAAATTTTATTGCTAAACGAAAAATAATGCAATCTGTGTAACATGACGCCTTTATTTCTCATACTGAAACATTTAATTAGTCGATTAGATTGACAGATCCTTCTCATACAACTATTCTATTAAATTTGTTACGCTTATTGCGGGTATTTGGTTTTGGTTTTAGTACTTACATATTACATCATCTTATTTATTTTCTCGATCATTCAAGAATAATCAAATATTCAAAAATAATTTAACACTTTCTCACATAGGTAACATTTTTATTTAGCTACATTTCGAATATTACTCTAAACACGGGTATGTCCAGATTTATTAAAAAAATAACAGAATTTAGTGATTTCATAAGTCCTTAATTTAATAGTACCTTATTAAATTTGTGAAATCACTAAATACTAATTTCACACACTAATTTCTTAGGCAAACAATTTATCATTAATACATTAAAAAATCTTAGACAATCCACCGACTTATTGTGTTGAGTATAATTAGTAAACAAAGAATCAATATTTGCGACGAGTGCATTTCGTTAGCAAAATTTTTTTTTGTAATAATCATTTGTTGTTGAGCTTCAACGGTTGTTTTTCTCTCTATATTATCTGCATCTTCAGTTTGTTCAAAATCTTTTGGATTTTCTTTAATTTTAATCGAAGTCAATGTAGTTGTTTGATCTTCATCTATTTTGCTGGCGATAAAATTATCTGTTACTGTTGTAATATTTTCCGTTGTTGTTTGTTCTTCTATTACAGTTGTCAAAGTAGGTGGGGTCTTACCAGATTCATCTGAGTTTTTTTCAGTTGTTTGCGTACTCATAACTAAAGAAGTTTCTGTAGCTGTAAATGAATCTTCTTGAACAGATTGCGAAACTAAAATAACTTTCGTTTCATTGTTGGTTGGTATAACTATCTCATTTATGGGCGTGTCTTTATTAATTGTTACGCATGTGGTATTACATTGTCCTTCGTGACATTTTTCTTCCACGCCACAAGTAATAAACTTTTCCCAAGCTGACAAAAATTGAAAGAGATGTGGTTGCTCACAATTGTCGTTAATATAAGTCTGTAATCCTGTTACCTCTCCTTCACAGAGTAGGGGTCCACCACTGTTACCCTTGAATCAAAGAAATTTTTAGCATTATATTAAAACTGACAGTAAAAATATTCTTACAAATATTAAAAAATTTGGCCTACAATTAATTGTTCCTAGTCTGGATGTTTTGTGTTTGTACATTTTACTAGATTGTCCGTAACACGGCTTTACAGTCGAGAAAAATTGCTAGTGTGGTTGTAATATAAGTAAACGCAAATTAAAAAATGTCAGTACACTTACTTGGCAATATTCAGAATCATAAATAAAATTCTTGTTGTCGTCACTATCAGCACCACAAATCATTGTGCTTGACTGAAAATGAAAGCCGCAATCTGTCGTCGGTAAGAGTAACTCAGTCGATATCTGCATCAGGACTTTATCTTCTGTTGCATTGCCATATCTCCTCTGCAAATTATTTGTCTCTTAAAAAAAGCTAACTGTCTATTTTAATGCCTATCTCACTAAAAAAAGTGCAATTGTTTTTAAGCGTTTCCTGTGTATCTCTAAATAATTTTTAATCACATTTAGCGTGCTTGGTTTTGTGATTTTAAGTTAATGTTTGCTATAAATTATTTGTTTTAAAGCTAACTGTCTATTTTATGCCTATTACTAAAAAAGTGAATTGTTTTTAAGCGTTTCCTGTGTATCTCTAAATTTTTTAATCACATTTAGCGTGCTTGGTTTTGTGATATTAAGTTAATGTTTGCTATAAAAAATTTTGGCGGATTTACTCGCGAGTTGTCGTAGTACACTAACGAGCGAAACAGTTTATTCATGTGTGTTTGTTAAAGCAATGTGCCAAAGCCTAAATGCCAATAGCCGCGAGCCTGGCACGTTGGCTCACAAAACCACAGTTTTGTGATAGGCGCGGCAGTAAGTCCACGACATACCTTGCACAACGATCAGTGTCTAAGAATAAAAGATATCAAATCTAATAGTCCTCTTATTTTGGATAAAATTAGTTTGGCAGAAACCAACCAACCCAGAAACGAACTACTGATGTCAATGAAGGCAAATTCTCAAATTATGTGACGAGCAGTAGAGTTTGATGATGAAATTATATTATAATGTGGTGTAATTTATATTGAGTTTATAACATCAAAAGATGGTTTAACTCCAAATTAAAGTTAAAAATAGTCTAGTAATCCAAACCATAGGCTTCCTCCTTACATTTATTATAATAATTGCAAATTAAAATGTAAAGCTCGCCCATAATTTGACGCTGAATGCGCTCGTGCTGAAAAGCACAAGCTATGGCTTACTTATCCTTGGTCGATGCTCGAGACTGCACAGCTTTGGATTTAAGCCATAAGAAGAGACCCTTTAATCAAGCCTCCAAGTCCTGAAAAGAGATATTATAGCAATCCAGTTTCTACCGCATTAAGTGCATCGGTGCAAAACTCTATGGTAATCATCTGGCAGCAAAGCTTTTTAACCTCTAGCCAAAGCGGTCGAGACAAACTTCTGCCGGTCACTGCCTCCGCTGGTTAAACCAGATGGCTCAATGGCGCATGCAGCTAAGGAGAAAGTTTACTTATTTGTTTCTGCTTTTGCTTGCAATTCACGTCTGGAAAGTAGCAACAGCGTACCAGCTCAGTTACCTCACTGCGGCAGATTTATGTCAGGAAACCTTATCAGGAACAAGGAGGTTCTTAAAACCTTGTGAAGTTTAGACGTGAAAAAAGCTAGTGTACTTGGTGGTATACCATCTATAACTCTAAAGGTCTAAGCTGTGACTGGAATAGTGACCAAATCTAGGAAGTTAGCTAATGTGCAGCATGGGCCTAAAAAGGGCAGCCGTGCCGACCCTGCCAACTATCGGCCAATTTAGATTACCTCCATACTCTGCAAGGTTAATGGCAGAATGATCTCCATAGTGATCGCTAGTAGACCGAAGGCGATCAGCTGGCCTTAGGGCGTATGCCACTTACATATGGGGCGAAACCCTTGAGAATAGAGGGAAGCACTTGCTGTTACCCTTGATGTCTCGAAGGCCTTTAGTATGGTATGGCATACTGGCTTTGAAGGCAAGATTTCAGCGTATGGCTTATCCACTGGCCTGACTGACTGGGTGAAGGACATTCTGAACGAACGATCTCTCAGAGTCGTCATTGATGACTACTCGTCCAGTCCTATCGCGATAAACGTCGGAGTTCTGTTTTCCCCTAAACTTTCTTCCTGTTGCACATTAATTATCTAATTATGCCCAGGATCTATGGGTATGCAGACGACAGCACAGTTGTGGAGAGGTATCAGCCGAATGCTCAGGCCAGTCGGTATCAAATCCAGTCCAAAAGATAAGCTACGATTGAGCGTGCGAATCTCTCAAGCAGGCAGTTTCCGAATAGGGTTATGCTGATTTCGTGAGATTCAACACCTCTAAAACGCAAACGTCTTTTCTCCGCTTAAAAGGAGCCGACTCACCTAGCTCCTACTTTTAGGATTGTATCGTTGGAGTAAACTGACCACCTTCAGTTGTTAGGGGTTGAACTTGAATTTTCTCCGAATCTCAACTACGGCCGGTTCATTGAGTCTATGCTCAAAGCAGCCGCGAGGAAACAAGGTGTTCTTGCAAGCATCCGGCGGTACTTCACGTCGGGCAGCTTCTTATCTTATATAAAGCGCAAGTCCAGCAGTGCTTGGAATACTGCTGTCACATATGGGCTGGTGCTACAAAATGGTACCTAGCATCGTTGGACTCAGTGGAAAGACGTGCTACGAGGCTCATTGGTAACATTTATTTCGTTGAAACTAATCTCGTTAGTCTCAAGCACAGGCGCAGAGTAGCCAGCCTCTCAGTATTCTAAAGGATGCATTTCGGTGAGTGTGCGCAGGAATTACATACTTTAATTCCTCCCTCTCCTTTCCATTATCGGACAACCAGGAGGTCGGCGGATCTTCACCCCTTTGTTGTCGATATTCCAAGCATTATAATCAAACTTCGTCTTTTGTAATTCGTACAGCAAATAAGTGAAATAATTTGTCGGGCTCTGTCATTCTGTCCGAATACAATCTGGGTGTCTTCAAGGTAAGAGTGAGTAGGCTTTTGTTCCGCTAAGACATTGCAAGTTAACTTCTAGGGCTACATCACCACTCATTACCAGGTGGCATTGGTATTGGTCAAGAACTGGCAAGTAAAAAGAAAAAAGAAAAAAATAAACGACTGCAGTTATTGCTGGAATTAACAATAAGGAAGATTAGATTAAATAAAAACAAAAACTATAATTAATATTATACCTTTAATAAGGTAAAACATAATATCTTTAATATAAAAACTATCAGCTTTTTACATGTTTTTTTTTAATTTCTTATAAAGATAGAGAAATAAACTCATTAAATCAACATAATTTAAGAAACGCTTAAAGTTAAAGGATAACAATCCTTTCATTAAATTGCCTATCTTTTCATTAAATGACAGTAGAAATGGACAGGTCCGGTAGTAGTAGAAATGGATAGGTCAGGTAAAAAATATATTGAACGTAAAAAGCTTTTTGTTGAAGACTAGCGTTACGCCCCGGTTTCGCACGAGCGATTTCTGGATCTCAAAAAAAGCGCCACCTACCGGATCCAACTGTAAATCTAAACCATCCAGGGACTAATGGTGATTAATATAGCGCATAGCGCTATATTATAGCGCGCTATCTCTTCATAACGCATAGCACGTGCTATGTAAGTAGTCGCCATGGCGCTATGACGCTATGACGCTTTGGCGCTATTCATATCAAGCAGCAATTAAAATAGTTCTAGCAGCAGAGCTGTTGGGAGTATACGTGTGACGCAAATTTAATCCAGCAGCACGCTTTTTATCGCGCGCAAACTAATTTAGTGTTAGACGTTATTTAGTAATGTATACTGTATATTTATAAGTGATCGAAGGACACAGTTGTCTGCTACAAAAGAAGCCTAACTAATGTTTATAAAATATAAATACAAAAGTGTATGTTTGTAAATAGTTGTTTTTGTATATACAATCAATAAACTTTTAAATACACCTTTGATTTATAATTTATATTAAATTTAAAATAACGTTTACATCAATTATAATAAAAAATATTAATTTTATTTTGTTTTAAAAAGTACAGTCCTTAAAAATATTTTTAGAATTATAAAAAGTCGTAAGCGTGAAAAGTATGAAAGAGCGTTCTTTAATTTTTCTATACCACTTTAATTTAATCTAAAATGCGACTTATTACGAAACAATATTCTTACATAGCACGTGGTCTATCCAATGAACGACATGTAATGTAGCGTGCTCCGAGATATAGCGTGCTGCTGAACTTAACGCGGTTGCCGGCCTCCTACACACTTTTTTATAAATAGCGCGCTATAACATAGCGTATTTAATAGCGCGCTAGAAATTTTTAGTTTGTAGTCTGTAGCGTGCTATTGATTTATAGTCGTTTTGAACAACTTTACCAGGGACACACTCAAACTCACAAAAAAATTCATCAAATCGTTCGGGAAGTTTTCGAGTTTTAGCGAGGTACTAAATGACAGCAATTGATTTTTATATATTAATAGAGATATATAATTTCAGTAAAAATACTTACCGCATAAATGAGCATCTTACAAGCTTTTACGTTAACTTCTTGCTTATAACGAGGTGTTGTAGGCGCTACTATAGAAGTTGTGTTGAACGGCTGAAGAGTTTTTAGTAGAGTGATGTCAGAAAACCACCACTGTTGCGCACTGAAGTTGTAGGGTTGAACGACTTGTATCACCTGTACATTTCAGACAGTAATTTAATTATTAGCTACTAATTGAAAGCTGAAAAACAGCAAATATAAAGTGACGGTTTCGAAATTTAAATCCTAGACTGATTTTAAATTTTAAAAGATTAAAAACTCTTATCACGTTATCAGAAAAAACACAATTTTAAAAGTTTTTTCTTATTGTTTTCAAAACTTTACTTACTTTACAACTTTATGATATACAAGTAAAGTTATCAAATCAATATCGAAATGGTTTTAAGATTTACCGCATATTACATAACAATGTGATACGTTTCAGCATCAATCTATAATACTTCCATCCATTTGACCGTGTAAGTATGAATTTCTAATTAAAAAAAACATCCAACACGTTATTAATAATAATGAGAATAAATTTTTACTACTGCTACCTACTTAAACATCAGGAAAGTTGTCTATTGAAAAAATATACGAGCAGTATTAGCAGTTATATTTTGCAGTAAGTAAATTGGCGTAACAGTTAAATATGAAGAATATTTTTTCAATGGGCGTGTAAAAAGAGCGCACAGTCGATATGATGGTAAGTGGATGCTGCGTCTCATAGACATTTATCCTCGATCTAGAATCAAAATGCAGACGCATTATCTTACTTGAGGACTAAGATGGAATGCAGTCGTTACCAGTAAAAAGAATCTCCGATTCTCTAACTCACCATACGAAACAGAAGCATTAGTCTGTTATTTTACGCTGGTGTTATGAGAGCGTGGTCCTTCCCCGGTCTAACTGACCCATTCGTTCTGTACTACAACAAGAATTTAAAAATATAATTTGACGATTATTTTAATCCTAGGTTAAAAATACTCATGGAGAAAGTCTTCTTCTTCATCAGCCATTAACAATCCATATATGGACATGGTCCTCATCCGTTGCGAGGAAGTACTCTCCCAAGGGAGGATTTGCCTACTCAACCGGTGGATTGACGATCGCAGAAACAGACGTCTTAGACATTTGACGATGCTGTCCATCGCCTGTCTGGATATTTCATATCTGGCGTAAACATGATACTTATATCATTATCTGCCAGGAGCAAAAAAAATTGGTAGTTCCGATAGTCGCTTTTATGATACCATCAGAACGTAAGGCTTATGAATTACCACCTTACAGCCTTTTATTTAATAAGTAAATATCACATGTAAATATCATATGATAATCGTAGCAAAAATATAATAAAAACAGCTTTATTATACGTGGTATAGCCATGCTGCAGTTATATTAGTAGTATAGTTGTAGCACGAATGCGTAAAATAGTAGCTTAATGCTGCTGTGTTTCGTAGGGTGAGTGTAGAGAAACGGAGACCCTTTTTATTGGAAACTGGGCATTCCATCTTCTTAGTACTCACGGGTGACAACGCATCCGCATTTTGATTTAGCAACCACTTTCCATTAGGTGGACTGTGTGCTTGTTTGTCACCCAATTCTATAAAAAACAAAAACGAAGCATTTAGGGGTACAATAAAAAGTTCAATATTTCAAAAATAGCCTTCTGTGGGTTGAATAGGTTTCTCGTGGCATAACTGGGTGTAATAATTTATTATTTATTTTAAGAACACATTTAAAAAAATTCTTTCTTAGTGATCATAAAAGACAACTACTCTCAGATTTCTAAGTCTAAGGCTTTTTGGGCTGTGCGCTTGTAGATGAGTCAGTCACTCAGGACAAACCCAGGTGGATATTCTTTAACCGCCACTACACGGTTACACGGCTACGCACTGCACTACACACACTAATATAAAATACAAATTATTAATTATGTGATTGTTGACTTAATAGATTTTATATTATAATTATCATTACGGGCTAAATCAGCCGGGAAAACATAATTACAATAAATTAAACTACGCTGATTTTTTTTTGATGATATGAATTGTATACCTCACGTTCTTGTTCCTCCTCGTCTTCGTTAAAGTTGAAATTAGAGTCTATATTGACAGCACCAAGTCTGGCTAACAGTGTCTTCTGTGGGAAGGCCAGTGGGGCATCGTTACGTTCAAGAGAAGCGGTGAGAAGCCAGTTTGGTAAAATTAAAACTGCGGCTCGACTGAATCGCACACCTGGTTTGTCAAGCACTGACGAATCTTGGTAGTAGACAAAGGCCTGATGACAATAATATCTTTAACTTATTTAGTACAAACATATAATACATGCATTCTGATATTAAATGTCGTTGGGAATCCGGAAAGGCTTTAATACAGTTGTAGGGATTATAGTGAATTTTAAGACATTTTCAAATTTCAACTAAGTACTACTAAGGTACTAAGATTAAACTGTTATTGGGGTGATGTTGAAGTGGAAATAACTACTTAAAAATTATAAAGTTTTTAACGTCACGTTTTTTTAAACACACGTTATCGAAGCTTAGCATTGAAAAAAAGTGTGTGTTTTTGACTTCTTGGGATGATGTGTATCGCTTACAATCCAACGCTATCGTGCGATTTTTGTGTTAATAGAATAAGATAGAATAGATTTTTTCATTGAATTTAGATTACAAGAACACTTATTAAGTCATTTACGATTTACCACTGTTCAGAAAAAACCTAGAGGGAATAAGCGTTAACTAAGCACACCGACAGGTACTATTGACATAAACTTGGATTGTTTGCTAACTAGAAAAAAATCAATATAGTAAGTACATACATGCGTATGCATGTATGCGTGTTCTTATATGAGAACTTAAAAGCTCTCCGGTAATTTAAATGCTTATCATTTATGATGATTCCTTAGTACTACTTTTATGAAATTCTATAACATCAATAGGATTTAAGTGAGATAAGAAACTGTAGTCAGTTTCTAGTCTTAACTGCACACTTAGCATCCTGCTGACTGGTACACGAGGTAATTGCGATTGACTAATTACAGAAAATACATTTAAATGCCAAATTCGAGTGTCAAAGACTAGAGCCAAAGAGCTACAGTACTAATGCGAGGGTAACGCTCCAATCTTCACTAACAACCATGGTTATCATATATGCCAGCTTTTTTATAAAAATGAATGGCAGTATGCGCATTTAAAAGGCTGCGGCAGCCTGATAATAATGACGTGTAAAAGAAAAGCTACAGTCTATACACGCCCTCCTCTTGAGCACAGGCACAGGCTTAAGTTTTTAAGATAGTTTCAGGGCAAGGAATTGACCGCCGCGCTTCTTTCCTTATGCATGTTGTCGGAATTCATATGTCTCAGTTTTCTTTAATTTTCCTGACATGATGGTTCCCTCACGTTTTTTTCATCGCTAAGTACGTTTTAAATGCACTTAACATCTGCACTTAACTTGCAAATAACAAGTTCATTGGTGCTTGCGGAATCAAACCCGAGTTTCTTGCGTCCTGTGTAATTTACTACGTGTGCCCTGAGCGGAAACGACAAAGTATTTACGGGATATATGGTATGGGATCTGGATTTTGGAAAAAGATGTTACACCCTGACGACTGAATATATGTATATATATATATATATATATATATATATATATATATATATATATATATGTGTCGTCGTCACATCTGATGAGTAAGATTTATTCACCACATGGAGTTCCGAATTTTTCCTGTCAATTTCTTCACCATAAAACATACGATGCAGCTTTGTTTGCTAGCGAACCCTGTTTGTCTGTAAGAGGATAATTCTTGTCGTACGTATTCTATCATAAGTAGCATCTTATTTTACAAATATTTGAATTAAGCTAAATATTTGAATTATTAATTTTATATAGAATTATTAATTTTTTAATTATTAAATTTTAATTTAGAAAACCTAAAAGTTTCGGTAACTTATTAATATCTCTGTAAAATTATTTTACAATTACAGTTCTCTTACCATAAAGGGAAATATTCCTCTTTTGACTTCATTGTCAGGGTCAGCCACAGCTCCCGTTAAACAGATAACTGAAAAAGAATTGTGGAAACGTGAAAACTACAATTTGGGATCAATAATTTTACCATTTAGAAAAGCAACTTAAGAACGTACTGCAGCACAGTGCAAATATAATGTAAATTTTCATATTTCCAAATTATTTACAGAAATAACGGAATGACGTTTGCCATTAACTCTCGTGACAAGCGTGTTTAAAAGAAGAATATAAAATTGTTTTAAGCAGTTGTAACATCGGCCAGTTGACGTACGCAGAGTAAACATACAAATAATGAAAACTTTTTAAACGCTAACAAAAATTTCGGTACTTTCCTTCTGCTTCTTGCAGTTAAAAAAGAATCAGCGAAGTCACGTCCCTTTATTTTTCGCCGTTATCTTTGACAAAGTTGCGTCGACTCCACTTAAGGGCATTAATCAGAATCGCATCCCGCCTAAGATGTATTATCCTCAATAAAGCGAAAAGAATGAGTTTGCAAATTTAAAACTCGTGTTTTACAGATAACAGTGAAGGATAAATTCGGGAAACATCAAATTATTCATGTAAGGGGTGTTAAAGGACGCGTTTTAATACGCTCAGAGCCACGTCGCCTTTTAAAAATATGCTAAGAACATTAAAAGATGCCATTTATTTTAAAATGTAGCTGATAGGAACACGGTTTGGTTGGGAAAGCTTGCATTGCGACTTTTTGCTTGATATTCTATAGAGCGTTTATTATTTAAACATATAATACAATATTACATTACTTTCATCAGAAATATAAAATAATAATAAAAATAAAAATTGTTTATTTCGGAAAACTTGAATCTATAGAAATTGTTAGTAGAGAAAAACTTACATATATGTTAGTAATATAATTTATACTTTTTTTAATATTTAATTATTAAGCGGGACATTGTCCTGGAGATCATATTTTTGATCAGTGGACAGTCCCCACTTTCAGCAATCTCACTCAGCACACTGTGGCCGCTGCCGCGCATTCTGTTTAGCAAAGATGCGGTCTTTTCTCGGATTATTGCATCAAAACTATCCACACCCGCCAGTGCGAACATCGCAGACGCGCTACAGTAGCGCGGCAGCCGCAACAGCGCCCTGAATGCCTTGTTGTATTGAGTACGTAGGCTACTATAAGCCTTTTTGTTGTAGTTGGTCCATAGTCTGCAAGAATAAAATGATGCACAATATGCTTTGAAAAACGTGATCTTGACAGCGTCAGTGCAGCGACCAAATCTGACAATTTCGGATATACCGATATTGATCTCTATATGTAAAAATGTTTTTCTGTCCGTTAGTCTCGCTAAAACTCGAAAATGGCTCGACTGATTTTGATGAATTTTTTGTTTGTTTTAGTGGATCCCGGGATGGCTTAGTTTCACAATTAGACCCATCACTGAAACAGAAATCACTCGTGCGAAGCCGGGGCGGATAGCTGGTGTTGTACATAATTATATCGTTTATTTAAAACTAGCTGTTCCCCGTGACTTTTTAAGAAGGGGGGGTGCCGGAGGGTTTCCGTATAATAAAAGTCTTAAATGTTTGTGCAATTTGCCGCTATTAATTTTCGTAAATGTCAACATTAATAAAGCGAATTGGGTTTGTAGTAATGATGACTGATAATACGACGTAATTGCTTGTATGTGTGTTCCCCGCAACGCAGAACCTCGTACAAAATAAGGTTGACAGCTATTCTATTGTGTATTATAGTATTCTATGAAAATAATAGTATTCTAAGTTACTCCTTATAACATTAGCTATCTACAAGTTTAGGTTCCATCCAAATCGGTTGACAGGTTTTTGGGTAATGCGTGTTCAGACAGACGTGGTGTGAGAGTTTTATTATAACAATAGTATAGATAGATAGATTAGGCCTTCTCTTTGGAATCCAAAAAAATACGGCCTTGAACCACTTGCACCTCTTACTCTTTATTCTATCTGGTGAGGGACCAACCAGTGCCAGTACACTGCACTTACAGGCACGAGGCTGTCCCTTGAGAACATTTCTTCCCTATCGGTTGTCAGTTCATTAAACGGGTTGGCCGGCCTATTGCTAATTTGGCTGACTGATCCGTTAGACTATGCCGATTACGCTGGTATTACTACGGATATCCTCATTACAAAGTCTATCACACGGAGAAACTCTGAGCATAGCCCTCTTTATGACTCACTAAGTGATCTCAGATCCACATGTCAACAATTATGGCAACACGCACAGCTTGTTCACTCTTGACTTCAAGTTTTGTGACTCGAAGATGTGTCGTAATCTCCCGAACGCTGCCCAGCTAAGTTAAATCCGCAGCTTGACCTTTCGGTCGCAGATGAACTCGTTAACAACCTCTAGCACAGATTTCACAAAACTAATGGCATAGCTATGAGTGTAATAAAATATTTTAGTAGATATAATTATTACTTACGTTTGTTCTCACATCTTGAAACTCTATCGTTATTGATTACATGAGTATTGCGGTATCATCAGAGTTTGTAAGTTGCAAGAAAATTCTTGCGGCTACACCGGTAGGTTAAATATTAAATTAAAAAAAAAACATTATCAGTAGAAGGTACTTATTTTATTTTATCAACGTATTACTCATTACCTATATAATTTTATTTTTATTTTAGTAGTAATTTGGTCAGACATTTACGAGCCGTGGTAGCTCAGGGGTTCTGTAAATTTCACAGTACGCTAGCAACCCGGGTTTGAACCCCGCAGGCATCGATGAAATTGTTAACTGCAATTGTAAGTGCTGATTTACCACGTGCTTGGTATTGAAGGAAGACATTGTGAGGAAACCTGCACGTCTGAGAAATGAAAAAAATATTTCGATGATATGTAAAGTCTGCCAACACGCATTGAAGCAGCGCGGCGGATACTTACTTGCCTTTTTTTGCGCCCGAAGCAAATAAGGGCAATCCTCCGGTAACGGGGGAGGGAGGTGGTGATGCTCATAGCAAACCACACAGCCGGCTGTGTGGTTATATGGAGATTTTTAGCCACTAAACACCACCTTTTGGGATTTTCTTAACGATCTGACGAGATATCTTTAAGCCGTAAACGGACGCGATCCTCCTTGGGAGAAAGGAGGGCACAAACTTACTTGCCCTAAAACCCTCAGAAATGAGAGGAGGTCTGTACCCAGCTGTAGTACTTATACATGCTGTAACAAAAAATTATGAGTAATTTTTTTATATTTTTTATTATTTATACATTTTGGCTACATATTGCTTTACATAAAGACCGATTTACACTAATACAAGTACAGTAGCGAGTTAACTTGCGAACCTGGCAAGTTAAGTAGAAAATCTCGTTTGAGAGCAGATTTCCACTTTGAGAAGTACAGTGGCAAGTTTATGAGCAAGTTTAGTACAGGGCAGTTGACAGCCGGTCAAATGTCTTCGTGGTGAGTTAAGTTAAAAAGATAAAATTTTATATTTTGAGGGTCGAATGCAAACACGTTGCGTCCTGTCAACTTATGCACTGAACTAAACTCGCTTGTTCACACGAGCAGCGAGTTTAGTACTTAACTCGCTGAAAAATAGACCGGCCGGCTATCCCGTTCAACTTAATTATTAACTTGCTACTTAACTCGTTAATTGTAGGTGGTCTCCTTAGTCTATGTACACTGACAGCCAACTTCAAGCAAATAAGGCAGATACATTGTCATCTCCAGACTACAATGGCATACCCCATAGCCTGTATTATATTACATTTTTAAGTCCACTTCTTCGGAAATTGTAGTGCCATTTTCCTCTTATGTAGCAGATAGATTTGTTCTTATGCATGGTAATGCACGGCCCCTTTATTGCGGTTAGTTGTCGAATAGCCAGCGCTCACCCGACTTATACCCTATAGAGCATATGTGGGATAAGCTTGGTAGATAAATTAAGAAGAGAAATCCTGCCCCCACTTTTTGAGAGATCTTAATCTTATTGGATTTTTCTGTCGAAAAATTCTAAGTTGCAGCCAAGAGTCCTCTCTCCGGTCGTATTGGGTTACCTTCAGAGAGTAAGGGAATAGAGAGCACCTGTGTTCGCGCACAAAACCGGGCACTGTAATCCTGTCCTGTGTGATGGCTAACCTCGGTTAAGACCGGCTGCCGTGATCAAAATTCGGTCGAAAGGACATTATAATGTAGAATTTTACTTTAGTTTTGAAGTCAGTGCCTATTTTTCATTATTACAAGTTCGAGGTTATATACACAAGAAAGACGAACATACCTAAAAAAACACACGCTATGAATATACGACGGTAATAATACCCCCACGTTTTTGTAAACTCGGTTAAGAAATAAATAAAATCGATTCGAATTTAACGTATCTGTATAAGCTTATTACGCTGTCATCACGATGCAAGCTTTCAGCGCAGTAGTGTCGGACTCTTTTCCCGAGGGAGATATTGTAGAAGACGGTAAGAGGTCCATGACGGCGGGGCTAAAGTTTTGCGTAACGTGCTGTCGTGTATTTTATTGCTACTTAAACTAATAAGTTTACTTAAAGAGTAAAATAGTTAAGTACTATCGGATTATATCCTTAAGAGTGCATACTTACATCACTATTTTGAAACCTTTTACTTTCATAGCAAAATGATCATCTAATTTAATTAGATCTACATACCGTCACCATTACAGCTTGTTAAAATCCACCGCTGAACATAGGTCTTGCCCATAGATTGCCTAATAGGGGGGACATTTGCCATAGTTGCCACGCTTGGCAAGCGGGTTGGCAACCACAGTTTTTTTCTTTTTAGTCGTTATTAGGAAGACGTTGCTGCTCATCACATGATTTGTTTTCCTTTATCGCCTCTTACAACAGCCACGGGATGATATGGTGTAGTGGATATTCTTACATCGCCTCTGACGGTCAGAATCCTGATTGGCAACAGAAACCAGTGTTAGAGGGACTAGATTTCAAGAAATAATTGGATTGCCAATCCACCGTACAGTTGTGCGGGTCAAGG